TGAGTTAGCGAATGAGTGGGTAGGTGAGTTAGTGAATGAGTGGATGGGTGAGTTAGTAAATGAGTGGGTGGGTGAGTTAGTGATTGAGTGGGTGGGTGAGTTAGTGAATGAGTGGGTGGGTGAGTTAGCGAATGAGTGGGTGGGTGAGTTAGTGAATGAGTGGATGGGTGAGTTAGTGAATGAGTGGGTGGGTGAGTTAGTGATTGAGTGGGTGGGTGAGTTAGTGAATGAGTGGGTGAGTTGGTTAATGAGTGAGTGAGTGTGAGAGAGTCTTCGTCTTGGTCTGCATCTCGTTGTGTCTGTGTGAGAGTCTTCGTCTTGGTCTGCATCTCGTTGTCTCTGTGTCTCTCTGTGTCAGAGTCTTCGTCTTGGTGTGCATCTCGTCGTCTCTGTGTCAGAGTCTTCGTCTTGGTCTGCATCTCGTTGTCTCTGTGTCTCTCTGTGTCAGAGTCTTCGTCTTGGTATGCATCTCGTCTCTGTGTGTGTGAGAGTCTTCGTCTTGGTATGCATCTCGTTGTCTCTGTGTCTCTGTGTCAGAATCTTCGCCTTGGTCTGCATCTCGTTGTCTCTGTGTCTCTCTGTGTCAGAGTCTTCGTCTTGGTCTGCATCTCGTTGTCTCAGAGTGGCCGGGGTCAGAGGTCGCCATTCACGCGCAGGGCCCTGCGCATCACAGCAGCTCCACAGAAATTTTAATATTTTATTTTTAAAAAAAAATTAAAACTCCCAACAATTAATTCGTTTAAATCGACCAAAGCGTCGCATCTCACCCAGCCTCTCTCTTAATTGTTTTTCCTTTAAAAAAAATAAAAAAATAACCACAACGAGATTCGCTGTCACGCGAAATGAAAAACTAAAACGATAACTTTAAATCGATCGTGATCAATTATTACGACGCGGTTCTAGTTTGATTAGCTCGCTCCCTTTCGCGCCAAGATTTGATGACAGCGCAGAGGTGAGGTGAATGTACAGTGTGAGGTGAATTTACAGTGTGAGGTAAATGTACAGTGTGAGGTGAATGTACGGTGACAGTGTGAGGTGAATGTACAGTGCGAGGTGAATGTACAGTGCGAGGTGAATGTACAGTGTGAGGTGAATGTACAGTGTGAGGTGAATGTACAGTGTGAGGTGAATGTACAGTGTGAGGTGGATGTACAGTGTGAGGTGAGTGAGTGGCTGATTGAGTGAGTGAATGAGTGAGTGGGTGAGTGAGTGGCTGGGTGGGTGAGTGAGTAAGTGGATGAGTGAGTGGCTGAGTGAGTGAGTGGATGAGTGAGTGGATGAGTGAGTGAGTGGATGAGTGAGTGGGTGAGTGAGTAAGTGGATGAGTGAGTGGCTGAGTGAGTGAGTGGATGAGTGAGTGAATGAGTGAGTGGATGAGTGAGTGAGTGGATGAGTGAGTGGATGAGTGAGTGAGTGGATGAGTGAGTGAATGAGTGAGTGGATGAGTGAGTGAGTGGATGAGTGAGTGGATGAGTGAGTGAGTGGATGAGTGAGTGGCTGAGTGGGTGAGTGAATGGGTGAGTGGGTGAGTGAGTGGCTGAGTGGTTGGGTGGGTGGATGAGTGAGTGAGTGGCTGAGTGGTTGAGTGAGTGAGTGGCTGAGTGAGTGAGTGGATGGGTGGTTGAGTGAGTGGCTGAGTGGCTGAGTGGGTGAGTGAGTAAGTGGATGAGTGAGTGGCTGAGTGAGTGAGTGGCTGAGTGAGTGAGTGGCTGAGTGAGTGAGTGGATGGGTGGTTGAGTGAGTGAGTGAGTGGCTGAGTGAGTGAGTGGATGGGTGGTTGAGTGAGTGGCTGAGTGGGTGAGTGAGTAAGTGGATGAGTGAGTGGCTGAGTGAGTGAGTGGCTGAGTGAGTGAGTGGCTGAGTGGCTGGGTGGCTGGGCGAGGCGGGCGAGCGATTCTGATGGCGTTGGGTCTGCCCGCAGGCCATGGACGCTGGGAGTGTGCGTGACCACGCGGGACGCTCGGGAGTGGAGGGGCCCCCGGATCGTCGCCTCGACGCAGCCACCAGCCGCGTCGGGCGGCGGACGCGAGTTGAGTTTCATGGTGGGCGGGTGTGTGGGTGGGTGTGTGGGTGGGTGGGTGAGTGAGTGAGTGGGTGAGTGAGTGCGTGGGTGGGTGAGTGAGTGGTAGGGTGAGTGAATGAGTTAGTGGGTGAGTAAGTGAGTGGGCGGGTATGTGGGTGGGTGAGTGAATGAGTGGGTGGGTTAGTGGATGAGTTGAGTGAGTGGACGGGTGAGTGAGTGAGTTAGTAGGTGAGTGAGTGGGCGGGTGTGTCAGTGGGTGGATGAGTGGGTGAGTGAGTGGGTGAGTGAGTGAGTGGGTTAGTGGGTCAATGGGTGAGTGGGTGAGTGAGTCAGTGGGTGAGTGAGCGAGTGAGTGGGTTAGTGGGTCAATGGGTGAGTGAGTGGGTGAGTGAGTGAGTTAGTGGGTGAGTGAGTGGGTGAGTTAGTTGGTGAGTGGGTTAGTGGGTCAGTGGGTGAGTGAGTGGGTGAGTGAGTGGGTTAGTGGGTCAGTGGGTGAGTGAGTGGGTGAGTGAGTGATTTAGTGGGTGAGTGAGTGGGTGAGTGATTGGGTGAATTAGTGGGTGAGTGAGTGGGTGAGTGAGTGGGTTAGTGAGTTAGTGGGTGAGTGAATGGGTGAGTGAGTGAGTGGGTGAGTGAGTGAGTGGGTGGGTGAGTGAGTGAGTGGGTGGGTGAGTGAGCGAGTGAGTGGGTGGGTGAGTGTGTGAGTGAGTGGGTGAGTGAGTGTGTGAGTGAGTGAGTGTGTGAGTGAATGAGTGTGTGAGTGAGTGTGTGAGTGTGTGAGTGGGTGAGTGTGTGATTGTGTGAGTGGGTGAGTGAGTGAGTGTGTGTGAGTGAGTGAGTGTGTGTGAGTGAGTGTGTGAGTGGGTGAGTGGGTGAGTGTGTGAATGGGTGAGTGAGTGAGTGTGTGAGTGGGTGAGTGAGTGATTTAGTGGGTGAGTGAGTGGGTGAGTGATTGGGTGAATTAGTGGGTGAGTGAGTGGGTGAGTGAGTGGGTTAGTGAGTTAGTGGGTGAGTGAATTGGTGAGTGAGTGGGTGGGTGAGTGTGTGAGTGAGTGGGTGAGTGAGTGGATGAGTGAGTGTGTGAGTGAGTGAGTGTGTGAGTGAGTGAGTGTGTGAGTGAGTGAGTGTGTGTGAGTGAGTAAGTGTGTGAGTGAGTGAGTGTGTGAGTGGGTGAGTGGGTGAGTGTGTGAATGGGTGAGTGAGTGAGTGAGTGTGTGAGTGGGTGAGTGTGTGAGTGGGTGAGTGAGTGAGTGGGTGAGTGAGTGAGTGAGTGGGTGAGTGAGTGGTTCTATTCGGTAAAGTCACGTAGGTAAAAAATAAAACAACAAAAATCACGACGTTTCGGCCACAACACAAGCGGCCTTCATCAGGTGAAGGGGACCCTACTGTCACGAGGACAGCGTTGGAGTGAAGAGAGTCCAGCCCCCAGGTCGCGTCCTTTTAAGCTGTGTGGGAGGAAACAAAACGCTTTGACAAAGGAATCAGCATAACAATGACCGAAAAGCACAAGAGGACCGGCACGGTGGGGGGGGGGGGAGTTTACAAATGTAGGTGTGAAGTGAAATAAGCTTTAATGAAAGTTTGGTATGTCACAATTTGGATAAAAACTATTGAAAATTCGTTTAATGTTTGGTTTGATTTAGAACATCTTTGCAATGGTTTGCTTAATTTGAAACCGTCTTCTCGGGTTGAAATTGTGTCCGTGTTTGTAGATCTGAATTGCCTCGTGGAGAAATCTCCGATGAAAACCCGCGGGTTTACAAAGAACCTTGGTATCGGAGAAAATTATATCGTGATCCCCCACAGCGTTGTAACAGTGGTCAGCTACGGCAGGAGAATTCGTTCTGCCGTGTTTCAAATCTGATTTGTGCTCGCGAATTCGGTCAGAGACATGTCGCTTTGTCTCCCCGATGTAGCAATCACCGCGGGTGCAGCTCAATTTGTAAACCCCGGGGTACTGTAAGTCAGGAATGACATCCTTCACGGATGGGATCAGATCACGAATTTTGTGTACTGTATTGAACCGGACCTGGATCTTGTGTTTGTTTAGAATTTTGGAGATCTTTTTAGTAACGCCTGCTATATATGGTAGTGTGATGGTTTTGACCGGAGTATCAAGTGGTTGTTTTTTGTATGGAGGGAGAGACAGCTTGGCGGATGGTACGGTCAGAGTATCCGTTTCTCTTGAGGGCCAGATGTACGTGTTTTAATTCACCGGTCAGGTGGTGTTGGTCCGAAATGCAATGAGCCCTGTGGTATAACGTTTTGATGAGAGAATTGTTTTGAGTTGGGTGGTGGTGGGAATCAGGTTTCAAGTAGGAATCTGTGTGGGTGGGTTTCCTGTAGACAGAATGCCCCAATGAGCCATCAGGTCTCCTCTCAAACAGAACATCCAAGAATGGCGGCTTGCCATCTTTCTCCACTTCCATGGTGAATTTGATGGCGGGGATGTCTGGAATTGATGTGGTGCAGGAAAAGGTTCAGAGCTGGGAGGCCATGTGGCCAAATGACGAAAGTGTCATCCACATATCTCTTCCACAGGGAAGGTCTGAAGGGTGGAAGCCTGGATGGCGTCCGATTCAAATTTCTCCATGAAAACATTGGCTGTCACTGGTGACAGGGGGGATCCCATGGGGGTACCCTCATTTTGTTTGTAGAAGGAGCCATTCCAGGTAAAGTAGGTATTGTTGAGGCAGTGCCCAACCAGCGCAGGTGCGTCGGGGGCCTAGTCCAATGTTGTACCAAATTTTCAATTATTTCAATGGTCCTCTTGTGCTTTTCGGTCATTGTTATGCTGATTCCTTTGTCAAAGCGTTTTGTTTCCTCCCACACAGCTTAAAAGGACGCGACCTGGGGGCTGGGCTGTCTTCACTCCAACGCTGTCCTCGTGACAGTACGGTCCCCCTTCGCCTGATGAAGGCCGCTTGTGTTTGTGGCCGAAACGTCGTGTGAGATTTTTGTCGTTTTATTTTTTTTTACCTACGTGGCGACTTTACCGAGTGGAACCAAAGAGTAGAGATGGATCCTTGCAGTCACGAAAGCTTCAAATCTGGAGTTACGGGCACCCTCACTCCACACGAACTAAAGTTGTCCAGTCAATTCAATTCCACCGTTGTTTAAATTTTTTTTTTTTAAAGGCGTTTATTTTTTTGCCGTTCTCCGCTTTGTTGACCTCAGACCTGCGCGCAGGCGGAGGAGGAGGAGGAGGTGGGGGAGGTGAAGATCTGAGCGGTCACGATGCCCGTGGGCAAGTGGGCGAGGAGGTGGAGGAGGTGGAGGAGGTGGAGGAGGTGGGGGAGGGGCCGCATGGAGAAGCAGCGAGCTGGGACGGCGAGCAAAGCAGAGCCGACGGGGAGACGGAGTTGAGCGGCGTTGGTGAGGGAGTGCGACACCCACAGACTCACCACACAGAGACCCACAGACTCACCACACAGACACCCACAGACTCACCACACAGACACCCACAGACTCACCACACAGACACCCACAGACTCACCACACAGAGACCCACAGACTCACCACACAGACACCCACAGACTCACCACACGGAGACACCCACAGACTCACCACACAGAGACCCACAGACTCACCACACAGAGACCCACAGACTTACCACACAGAGACACCCACAGACTCACCACACAGAGACACCCACAGACTCACCACACAGAGACACCCACAGAATCACCACACAGAGACACCCACAGACTCACCACACAGAGACACCCACAGACTCACCACACAGAGACACCCACAGACTCACCACACAGAGACCCACAGACTCACCACACAGAGACCCACAGACTCACCACACAGAGACCCACAGACTCACCACACAGAGACACCCACAGACTCACCACACAGAGACACCCACAGACTCACCACACAGAGACACCCACAGACTCATCACACAGAGACCCACAGACTCACCACACAGAGACACCCACAGACTCACCACACAGAGACCCACAGACTCATACAGAGACCCACAGACTCACCACACAGAGACACCCACAGACTCACCACACAGAGACACCCACAGACTCACCACACAGAGACACCCACAGACTCACCACACAGAGACACCCACAGACTCACCACACAGAGACCCACAGACTCACCACACAGAGACCCACAGACTCACCACACAGAGACACCCACAGACTCACCACACAGAGACACCCACAGAATCACCACACAGAGACACACACAGACTCACCACACAGAGACCCACAGACTCACCACACAGACACCCACAGACTCACCACACAGAGACACCCACAGACTCACCACACAGAGACACCCACAGACTCACCACACAGAGACACCCACAGACTCACCACACAGAGACACCCACAGACTCACCACACAGAGACCCACAGACTCACCACACAGAGACCCATAGACTCACCACAGAGACCCACAGACTCATACAGAGACCCACAGACTCACCACACAGAGACCCACAGACTCACCACACAGAGACCCACAGACTCACCACACAGAGACCCACAGACTCACCACACAGAGACCCACACACTCACCTTTTGCTCGAACTTCTCCCGCCGCCTCCCAGGCTCCTGCCGCCCGCCGCCGCCGCCGCCGGCGCCGCCGCCCCCGGCGAACCGCAAGCGCGTCGTCCTCTCGGTGCAGACCAAGCTGGACATCCTGCGTCGTCTGGAGCGCGGCGAGTCGGTGGCGAGCCTCGCCCGCGAGCACAACGTCGGCCTCAGCACCGTGTACGCCACCAAGGCGGCCAAGCAGAGGCTGCGGCGCTTCAAGAGGGCCATGGACATCGACGCGGGCACCGCCGGCATCAAGGTGATGCGCAACTCCAAGTTCCCGAGCTGAACGCGGCCGTGCACGCCTGGCTGTGGGAGCGGTGCGCCGCCGGCACGGCCGTCACGGGCCCCATGCTCATGCGCCAGGCCGGGGCGCTGCACCGGCGGCTGGGCATCAAGGAGCCGTTCGCCGCCAGCGCCGGGTGGCTGCGCGGGTTCCGGAAGCGTCGCGGCGTCGAGGGGCTCCTCGCCACGGCCGAGGGGCCGCCCGCGCGGCCGCCGCCGCCGCCGACGCCGTCCGGCGAGGAGGCCGCGGCCGCGCGGCCCCCGACGGCCCTCGGCGAGGTGGGGCCCGAGGGAGGTTCAGCGGAGTTCCGCTCGTTCGCTCGGCGCGGCCCGGACGGGCGGCTGTGCGGCGAGCAGCTGTACCGCGCGCACGAGGGCCGCCTGCTCTGGCGGAGGCTGCCGGGGGCCGGCGGCGGCGGCGGCGACGACGGCCGGCTGACGCTCCTCGCCTGCTGCAACGCGGCCGGCACTCACCGCCTGCCGCTCGCGGTCTTCGGCGCGGAGGCCGCCGGCGAGGCGTTCGGCGACGCCGACCCGGAGCTGCTGCCCGTCCACTACTACCGCCGGGGCGGCGGTGAACGCGGTGGTGAAGACGGCGGCGAAGACGGCGAAGGCGGCGGCGACGTCACCGGGGAGCTCTTCCGCTCGTGGTTCGCGAGCCGATTCGTCCCCGCCGTGTCCGAGCGACTCCGCCGCCTGGGCCTGCCCCGGCGGGCCGCTCTGATCGCGGACGCGGGGCCGGGGCGCCGGGCCCGCGGCTCGCCGAGCCTCGGGGACTTCGCCGTCTTCGGCCCGCCGGGGGCGGCGGCGGCAGCGGCGGGGCCCCGCCGACGGCCCGCGGGTCGCGGCGTCCTGCGGGGCCTCCGGCTGCGCTACCGGCGAGCCATGCTGCGGCGCCTGGCCGCCGCCGGTGCCGCCGCCGGTGCCGGCGCCGCCTGGGGCCTTGCCGAGGCGGTGAGCGACTGCGCCCGGGCGTGGCGACAGGTGCCCGGGCGGCTGCTGCGTCGCTCCTGGCTCGACCTGTGGCCGGTGGACGCGGACGGTGGCGACGACGGTGGAGGAGGAGGTCGGTGGAAAGTGGAGGAGGAGGAGGAGGAGGTGAAGGAGGAGGAGGAGGTGGCGGGGGACGACGACGACGCCGCCGACGACGCCGACGACGCCGCTTGCGGCCTGTCGGTGGGCCACTTCGTCACGGAGCTGCGCGCCGTGCCGGGCTACGAGGCGGTGGACGAGGCGGCGGTGGCCGAGTGGCTGGACGTGGACGGCAACGGCCGCGGGCCGCGGAGGCCCGGGAGGGCGGCCGCGGACCGCGGCGGCGGAGGCGGCGGAGGCGGCGGAGGCGGCGGCGGAGGCGGCGGAGGCGGCGGAGGCGGCGGAGGCGGCGGAGGCGGCGGAGGCGGCGGAGGCGGCGGAGGCGGGTCGGCGGTACGCGGCGAGGAGGAGGAGCCGGAGGAAGAGGTGGAGATGGAGGAGGACGAGGAGGTGGAGGAGGAGGTGGAGGAGGAGGTGGAGGAGGAGGTGGAGGAGGGGAGGGAGGGGAGGGCGTGCCGGATCTCGCACGAGGAGGCCGTGCTCGTCTTCGGCCGAGCGATGGAGTACCTGGAGGAGCAGGCGGACTCGAGGCGGAGCCACGTGGCCACGCTCGCCGCGATGCGGAGGAGGGCGCTGGCCAAGAGGTCGCGGGGTCACGGCGAGAGGGCCGGGGTCACGGGGGGCGGAGGAGGGGGCGGAGGGGGGCCGTGAGGGTCGACCGGGGGCGGGAAGACTCGGCCCGGAGGGTTGGGGGAGGGAGGGGGGGGGGGAGAGAGAGGGTGGGGGGTGACAGTGGCGGTGGTGGTGTTGGTAGTATTGGTGGTGTTGGTGGTATTGGTGGTAGTGGTGGTGTTGGTGGTAGTGGTGTTGGTGGTGTTGGAGGTGTTGGTGGTAGTGGTGGTGTTGGAGGTGTTGGTGGTATTGGTGGTAGTGGTGGTGTTGGTGGTAGTGGTGTTGGTGGTGTTGGAGGTGTTGGTGGTAGTGGTGTTGGTGGTGTTGGTGGTAGTGGTGTTGGTGGTAGTGGTGTTGGTGGTGTTGTAGATGGTGGTGGTGTTGGTGTAGATGGTGTAGGTGGTGGTATTGGTGTTGGTGGTAGTGGTGATGGTGTAGGTGGTGGTGTTGGTGGTGTAGGTGTAGATGGTATAGGTGGTGTAGGTGGTGTTGGTGTAGGTGGTGGTGTAGGTGTTGGTGTTGGGGTGCCCCCAGATGAGGCCCGGCGTGGGCGTGGAGGGCTCGTGCGTGGTGGGTGTGAGTGTTTGTGCCGTCGTTGGCGCGGCGGCGGCGGCGGTTAAAGTGTGGGGTGACTCCCACCGAGAGAGGTCGACGCTGTTGTAGTGGTTGTAGTGGTTGTTGTTGTGGTTGTTGTAGTGGTTGTCGTTGTGGTTGTTGTTGCCGGCGTCGCATTTATTTGTCGTGGTTTTTCGTTTTGGTAAACGGCGACTTGTCTCGGGCGTGAGGAATCTGTTCACGACGTTTGTTGTTGGGCTCCGGTGGTGAAACTCTGTCAAGTAGTGTATAGTGTAGTGTATTGTATAGTGTAGTGTGTAGTGTAGTGTAATATATAGTAGTGTATAGTGTAGTGTAATATATAGTAGTATATAGTGTATAGTGTAGTGTATAGTAGTGTATAGTGTAATATATAGTAGTGTGTATAGTGTAGTGTGTATAGTGTAGTGTATAGTGTAGTGTGTATAGTGTAGTGTATAGTGTAGTGTATAGTGTAGTGTAATGCTAAACATAAATCTCTGCGCTCCCTGCCCCCAGGCCTCAATACCCAGTTCCCCTCGCCATGACGCTTTGCCCGACGGCCGTGAGGTGGGTGAGTGAGATGGTGGGTGAGTAGGTGAGTGAGTAGGTGGGTGAGTGAATGATTGAGTGGGTGAGATGGTGGGTGAGTAGGTGAGTGAGTGATTGAGTGGGTGAGTGAGTGAATGATTGAGTGGGTGAGATGGTGGGTGAGTGAATGATTGCGTGGGTGAGTGAGATGGTGGGTGAGTAGGTGAGTGAGTGAATGATTGAGTGGGTGAGTGAGATGGTGGGTGAGTGAGTGGGTGAGTTAGATGGTGGGTGAGTAGTTGAGTGAGTGAATGATTGAGTGGGTGAGTAGGTGAGTGAATGATTGAGTGGGTGAGTAGGTGAGTGAGATGGTGGATGAGTAGGTGAATGAATAATTGAGTGGGTGAGATGGTGGGTGAGTAGGTGAGTGAATGATTGAGTGGGTGAGTGAGATGGTGGGTGAGTGAGTAGGTGGGCGAGTGAGTGAATGATTGAGTGGGTGAGATGGTGGTTGAGTAGGTGAGTGAGTGGGTGAGATGGTGGGTGAGTGAATGATTGATTGGGTGAGTGAGATGGTGGGGGTGAGTAGGTGAGTGAGTGGGTGAGATGGTGGGTGAGTGAGTGATTGAGTGGGTGAGTGAGTAGGTGGGCGAGTGAGTGAATGATTGAGTGGGTGAGATGGTGGTTGAGTAGGTGAGTGAGTGAGTGGGTGAGATGGTGGGTGAGTGAATGATTGATTGGGTGAGTGAGATGGTGGGTGAGTAGGTGAGTGAGTGAGTGGGTGAGTGAGTGGGTGAGTGAGTAGGTGAGTGAGTGGGTGAGTGAGTAGGTGAGTGAGTGATTGGGTGAGTGACATGGTGGGTGAGAGATAATCAACAACACCAACAACATGCACCAAGCCCTCATTGTTGATTGTTTATTTGCACGTCAGCTGAGTGACTGCAGAGTCGGCAGCCTGCTGCTGCTCCCCCCCCCCCCAACCACGGCTCAGTCAACTCGACAAACAGACAGACGGTTCGGGCCAGCACCCAGCAGCAGCGGCAAAGCAATGGCCGCGCTTCTCCGTTGCGTCGCCAGATAAACGGAACACGTTGTCAAAGACAAAGCTCCCCCAGGTAGCCTCTAGCAGGGCTGTAGGGGCAAGTGCTGTTAGTAGCGAGTAGCAGTGTCTATGAAAATACAAAGACCCCCCAGGTAGTCTCCAGCAGGGCTGTAGGGGCAAGTGCTGTTAGTAAGCGAGTAGCAGCAGCTGCCTATGAAGGTTACCGGCGCTGTGGCACACACAGAGGGGGTGGGTGGCCACCACCACGCCCGGCCGCCTTTGTCTCTCCCCCAGCGGCGTCGTTGACTGCACCGCTACACCAGGTACTCGTTTGAGGCTGAGTCGCTCTAGGGGAGGGCCAGGACCGGTTCAGATAATCGTCACGTGGTGGAGTTGGTCGTGAGCGGGAATCGAACCTGGGTCGCTGGGTTCGTAGTGCTAACCACTACACCCACCGCTCCCCACACACACACACACAGTGCGCTAACCACTACACCCACCGCTCCCCACACACACACACACACAGTGCGCTAACCACTACACCCACCGCTCCCCACACACACAGTGCGCTAACCACTGCACCACCACTCCCCACACACACACACTGTGTACAGGAGGTCGTGGAATCCACGACCTATTGTACACCAGGCAAGGTAGTCAGCATCTCATAGCCACCGTGATGATGATGGTGGTGGAACCCACGACCTCCTGTACACCAGGCGAGGTAGTCAACATCTCCTAGCCACCATGATGATGATGGTGGTGGTGGAACCCACGACCTCCTGTACACCAGGCGAGGTAGTCAACATCTAGCCACCGTGATGATGATGGTGGTGGTGGAACCCACGACCTCCTGTACACCAGGCGAGGTAGTCAACATCTCCTAGCCACCGTGATGGTGGTGGTGGTGGAACCCACGACCTCCTGTACACCAGGCGAGGTAGTCAACATCTCCTAGCCACCGTGATGATGATGGTGGTGGTGGAACCCACGACCTCCTGTACACCAGGCGAGGTAGTCAACATCTCCTAGCCACCGTGGTGATGATGGTGGTGGAACCCACGACCTCCTGTACACCAGGCGAGGTAGTCAACATCTCCTAGCCACGGCGATGGACGCCTCTCTACGGCTGGGTCACGCCGGCGTGAGACGGGGATTTGCGGTTCCTCTTCTTTGGCAGATCGTCATCACCGTCACCACCACCACCGCCACCACCACTACCACCACCACCACTACCACCGCCACCATTACCACCACCACCGCTACCACCACTACCGCCACCACCACCACTACCGCCACTACCGCCACCACCACTACCACTACCACCACTACCGCCACCACTACCACCGCCATCGCCTGCCATGGCCGCGCTGTCTGCAAGGCCGGCGAAGTGATCGGCCATCCTGCGGAGGGCGAGGGAGCGGTGGGAGATGGAGTTCTTCACCTCCTTGGGTAGCTCCGCGTAGCTTGAGGGGGGGGGGAGAGACGGGGGGGGGGGGTGGATGAGTGAGTGAGTGAGTGTGTGAGTGAGTGTATGAGTGAGTGAGTGTATGAGTGAGTGTATGAGTGAGTGAGTGTATGAGTGAGTGGGTGAGTGAGTGGGTGAGTGAGTGTATGAGTGAGTGTATGAGTGAGTGAGTGTATGAGTGAGTGAGTGTGTGAGTGAGTGTATGAGTGAGTGAGTGGGTGTGTGAGTGAGTGTATGAGTGGGTGAGTGAGTGTGTGAGTGAGTGAGTGTGTGTGTGAGTGTGTGAGTGAGTGGGTGAGTGAGTGGGTGGGTGAGTGAGTGGGTGGGTGAGTGGGTGGGTGGGTGAATGGGTGAGTGAGTGTGTTAGTGAGTGAGTGTACGAGTGACTGAGTGAGTGTACGAGTGAATGAGTGTATGAGTGAGTGAGTGTGTGAGTGAGTGAGTGTATGAGTGAGTGAGTGTATGAGTGAGTGAGTGTATGAGTGAGTGTATGAGTGTGTGAGTGAGTGTATGAGTGTGTGAGCGAGTGACTGAGTGACGCTCAGAGCGAGCACTCCACTCATGTCCTGGGGCTCCTTACGTCTTGTCGAATCCATCCGGCTGGAAGCAGGGATCCCAGCCAAAGTCTCTGGGGCCCTTGGGCTCAACGATCTTGCCCTGAAACGAGCGCCACCCACACACGGGCTCAGGGTCTCTATTGTGGTGCACGTGATGTGGAACTTCTGTGGGTCTCTGTGTGGTGAGTCTGTGGGTCTCTGTGTGGTGAGTCTGTGGGTCTCTGTGTGGCGAGTCTGTGGGTCTCTGTGCGAGTCGGTGGGTCTCTGTGTGGTGAGTCTGTGGGTCTCTGTGTGGTGAGTCTGTGGGTCTCTGTGCGAGTCGGTGGGTCTCTGTGTGGTGAGTCTGCGGGTCTCTGTGCGAGTCGGTGGGTCTCTGTGTGGTGAGTCTGTGGGTCTCTGTGTGGTGAGTCTGTGGGTCTCTGTGTGGTGAGTCTGTGGGTCTCTGTGTGATGAGTCTGTGGGTTTCTGTGTGGTGAGTCTGTGGGTCTCTGTGGTGAGTCTGTGGGTCGCTGTGTGGTGAGTCTGTGGGTGTCTGTGTGGTGAGTCTGTGGGTGTCTCTGTGTGGTGAGTCTGTGGGTCTCTGTGTGGTGAGTCTGTGGGTCTCTGTGTGGTGAGTCTGTGGGTCTCTGTGTGGTGAGTCTGCGGGTCTCTGTGCGAGTCGGTGGGTCTCTGTATGGTGAGTCTGTGGGTCTCTGTGTGGTGAGTCTGTGGGTCTCTGTGTGGTGAGTCTGTGGGTGTCTCTGTGTGGTGAGTCTGTGGGTCTCTGTGTGATGAGTCTGTGGGTTTCTGTGTGGTGAGTCTGTGGGTCTCTGTGTGGTGAGTCTGTGGGTCTCTGTGCGAGTCGGTGGGTCTCTGTGTGGTGAGTCTGCGGGTCTCTGTGCGAGTCGGTGGGTCTCTGTGTGGTGAGTCTGTGGGTCTCTGTGTGGTGAGTCTGTGGGTCTCTGTGTGGTGAGTCTGTGGGTCTCTGTGTGATGAGTCTGTGGGTTTCTGTGTGGTGAGTCTGTGGGTCTCTGTGTGGTGAGTCTGTGGGTCGCTGTGTGGTGAGTCTGTGGGTGTCTGTGTGGTGAGTCTGTGGGTGTCTCTGTGTGGTGAGTCTGTGGGTCTCTGTGTGGTGAGTCTGTGGGTCTCTGTGTGGTGAGTCTGTGGGTCTCTGTGTGGTGAGTCTGCGGGTCTCTGTGCGAGTCGGTGGGTCTCTGTATGGTGAGTCTGTGGGTCTCTGTGTGGTGAGTCTGTGGGTGTCTCTGTGTGGTGAGTCTGTGGGTCTCTGTGTGATGAGTCTGTGGGTTTCTGTGTGGTGAGTCTGTGGGTCTCTGTGTGGTGAGTCTGTGGGTCTCTGTGTGGTGAGTCTGTGGGTCTCTGTGTGGTGAGTCTGTGGGTGTCTGTGTGGTGAGTCTGTGGGTGTCTCTGTGTGGTGAGTCTGTGGGTCTCTGTATGGTGAGTCTGTGGGTCTCTGTGTGGTGAGTCTGTGGGTCTCTGTGTGGTGAGTCTGTGGGTCTCTGTGTGGTGAGTCTGTGGGTCTCTGTGTGATGAGTCTATGGGTGTCTCTGTGTGGTGAGTCTGTGGGTCTCTGTGTGGTGAGTCTGTGGGTCTCTGTGTGGTGAGTCTGTGGGTTTCTGTGTGGTGAGTCTGTGGGTCTCTGTGTGGTGAGTCTGTGGGTCTCTGTGTGATGAGTCTGTGGGTCTCTGTGTGGTGAGTCTATTGGTCTCTGTGTGGTGAGTCTATGGGTCTCTGTGTGAGTCTATGGGTCTCTGTGAGTCTATGGGTCTCTCTGTGTGAGTCTATGAGTTGATGTGTGAGTCTATGGGTCTCTGTGTGAGTCTATGGGTCTCTGTGAGTCTATGGGTCTCTGTGTGAGTCTATGGGTCTCTGTGTGGTGAGTCTATGGGTCTCTGTGTGATGAGTCTATGAGTCTATGTGTGAATCTATGGGTCTCTGTGTGGTGAGTCTATGGGTCTCTGTGTGTGAGTCTATGAGTCTATGTGTGAGTCTGTGGGTCTCTGTGTGGTGAGTCTATGGGTCTCTGTGAGTCTATGGGTCTCTGTGTGAGTCTATGGGTATCTGTGTGAGTCTATGGGTCTCTGTGTGAGTCTATGGGTCTCTGTGTGAGTCTATGGGTCTCTGTGTGTGAGTCTATGGGTCTCTGTGTGAGTATGGGTCTCTGTGTGAGTCTATGGGTCTCTGTGTGAGTATGGGTCTCTGTGTGAGTCTATGGGTCTCTGTGTGTGAGTCTATGGGTCTCTGTGTGTGAGTCTATGGGTCTCTGTGTGTGAGTCTATGGGTCTCTGTGTGTGAGTCTATGAGTCTATGTGTGAGTCTGTGGGTCTCTGTGTGGTGAGTCTATGGGTCTCTGTGAGTCTATGGGTCTCTGTGTGAGTCTATGGGTCTCTGTGTGTGAGTCTATGGGTCTCTGTGTGAGTATGGGTCTCTGTGTGAGTCTATGGGTCTCTGTGTGAGTATGGGTCTCTGTGTGAGTCTATGGGTCTCTGTGTGTGAGTCTATGGGTCTCTGTGTGTGAGTCTATGGGTCTCTGTGTGTGAGTCTATGGGTCTCTGTGTGTGAGTCTATGGGTCTCTGTGTGATGAGTCTGTGGGTGTCTCTCTGTGTGAGTCTATGGGTCTCTGTGTGTGAGTCTATGGGTCTCTGTGTGTGAGTCTATGGGTCTCTGTGTGTGAGTCTATGGGTCTCTGTGAGTCTATGGGTCTCTGTCCGAGTCTATGGGTCTCTGTGTGAGTCTATGGGTCTCTGTGGGAGTCTATGGGTCTCCCTTTGTCTATGGGTCTCTGTGTGAGTCCATGGGTCTCTCTGTGTGAGTCTATGGGTCTCTGTGTGAGTCAATGGGTCTCCCTTTGTCTATGGGTCTCTGTGTGAGTCTATGGGTCTCTGTGAGTCTATGGTTCTCTGTGTGAGTCAATGGGTCTCCCTTTGTCTATGGGTCTCTGTGTGAGTCCATGGGTCTCTGTGTGAGTCTATGGGTTTCTGTGTGGTGAGTCTGTGGGTCTCTGTGTGGTGAGTCTGTGGGTCTCTGTGTGATGAGTCTGTGGGTCTCTGTGTGGTGAGACTGTGGGTCTCTGTGTGAGTCTATGGGTCTCTGTGTGGTGAGTCTATGGGTCTCTGTGTGGTGAGTCTATGGGTCTCTGTGTGAGTCTATGGGTCTCTGTGAGTCTATGGGTCTCTCTGTGTGAGTCTATGAGTTGATGTGTGAGTCTATGGGTCTCTGTGTGAGTCTATGTGTCTCTGTGAGTCTATGGGTCTCTGTGTGAGTCTATGGGTCTCTGTGTGGTGAGTCTATGGGTCTCTGTGTGATGAGTCTATGAGTCTATGTGTGAGTCTATGGGTCTCTGTGTGTGAGTCTATGAGTCTATGTGTGAGTCTGTGGGTCTCTGTGTGGTGAGTCTATGGGTCTCTGTGAGTCTATGGGTCTCTGTGTGAGTCTATGGGTATCTGTGTGAGTCTATGGGTCTCTGTGTGAGTCTATGGGTCTCTGTGTGAGTCTATGGGTCTCTGTGTGTGAGTCTATGGGTCTCTGTGTGAGTATGGGTCTCTGTGTGAGTCTATGGGTCTCTGTGTGAGTATGGGTCTCTGTGTGAGTCTATGGGTCTCTGTGTGTGAGTCTATGGGTCTCTGTGTGTGAGTCTATGGGTCTCTGTGTGTGAGTCTATGGGTCTCTGTGTGATGAGTCTGTGGGTGTCTCTCTGTGTGAGTCTATGGGTCTCTGTGTGTGAGTCTATGGGTCTCTGTGTGTGAGTCTATGGGTCTCTGTGTGTGAGTCTATGGGTCTCTGTGAGTCTATGGGTCTCTGTCCGAGTCTATGGGTCTCTGTGTGAGTCTATGGGTCTCTGTGTGAGTCTATGGGTCTCCCTTTGTCTATGGGTCTCTGTGTGAGTCCATGGGTCTCTCTGTGTGAGTCTATGGGTCTCTGTGTGAGTCAATGGGTCTCCCTTTGTCTATGGGTCTCTGTGTGAGTCTATGGGTCTCTGTGAGTCTATGGTTCACTGTGTGAGTCAATGGGTCTCCCTTAGTCTATGGGTCTCTGTGAGTCCATGGGTCTCTGTGTGGTGAGTCTGTGGGTGTCTCTCTGTGTGAGTATGTGGGTGTCTCTGTGTGAGTCTATGGATCTCTGTGTGAGTCTATGGGTCTCTGTGTGATGAGTCTATGGGTCTCTGTGTGTGAGTCTATGGGTCTCTGTGAAGTGAGTCTATGGGTCTCTCTGTGTGAGTCTATGGGTCTCTGTGTGTGAGTCTATGGGTCTCTGTGTGGTGAGTCTGTGGGTGTCTCTCTGTGTGAGTCTATGGGTCTCTGTGTGAGTCTATGGGTCTCTGTGTGAGTCTATGGGTCTCTGTGTGAGTCTATGGGTCTCTGTGTGTGAGTCTATGGGTCTCTGTGAGTCTATGAGTCTATGTGTGAGTCTATGGGTCTCTGTGTGTGAGTCTATGGGTCTCTGTGTATGAGTCTATGGGTCTCTGTGTGAGTCTATGGGTCTCTGTGTATGAGTCTATGGGTCTCTGTGTGTGAGTCTATGGGTCTCTGTGTGTGAGTCTATGGGTCTCTCTGTGTGAGTCTATGGGTCTCTGTGTGAGTCTATGGGTCTCTGTGTGAGTCTATGGGTCTGATTGAAAGCGCAGCGCCCAGCGGCTTCCTCGCCCCGCGAACTCACGTGCGTCTCCCCGCGGAAGAGGAGCACAGGAGAGCCGAGAGCTCGGCCGGGGCTGTAGGCGAAGGTGCAGACGGCACGGGCTCCCTTGTCCTCAAACCCAGCCAGCAGGCGGTGCAGGCCTGCAGGAGGGTGGGCGGGGGGACGGGCACACACTTAGCAACACCCCCACTTACCAACACCCCTACTTACCAACACCCCTACTTACCAACGCCCCTACTTACCAACGCCCCTACTTACCAACACCCCCACTTACCAACGCCCCTACTTACCAACACCCCCACTTACCAACACCCCCACTTACCAACACCCCCACTTACCAACACCCCTACTTACCAACGCCCCTACTTACCAACGCCCCTACTTACCAACACCCCCACTTACCAACACCCCCACTTACCAACACCCCTACTTACCAACGCCCCTACTTACCAACACCCCTACTTACCAACGCCCCTACTTACCAACGCCCCTACTTACCAACACCCCCACTTACCAACGCCCCTACTTACCAACACCCCCACTTACCAACACCCCCACTTACCAACACCCCCACTTACCAACACCCCTACTTACCAACGCCCCTACTTACCAACGCCCCTACTTACCAACACCCCCACTTACCAACCCCCCCACTTACCAACACCCCTACTTACCAACGCCCCTACTTACCAACACCCCTACTTACCAACACCCCTACTTACCAACGCCCCTACTTACCAACGCCCCTACTTGCCAACGCCCCTACCTACCAACGCCCCTACTTACCAACACCCCTACTTACCAACGCCCCTACTTACCAACGCCCCTACTTACCAACGCCCCTACTTACCAACGCCCCTACTTACCAACACCCCTACTTACCAACACCCCCACTTACCAACACCCCTACTTACCAACACCCCTACTTACCAACACCCCTACTTACCAACGCCCCTACTTACCAACGCCCCTACTTACCAACGCCCCTACTTACCAACGCCCCTACTTACCAACGCCCCTACTTGCCAACGCCCCTACCTACCAACGCCCCTACTTACCAACGCCCCTACTTACCAACGCCCCTACTTACCAACACCCCTACTTACCAACGCCCCTACTTACCAACGCCCCTACTTACCAACGCCCCTACTTGCCAACGCCCCTACCTACCAACGCCCCTACTTACCAACGCCCCTACTTACCAACGCCCCTACTTACCAACACCCCCACTTACCAACGCCCCCACTTACCAACGCCCCCACTTACCAACGCCCCTACTTACCAACACCCCTACTTACCAACACCCCTACTTACCAACGCCCCTACTTACCAACGCCCCTACTTACCAACGCCCCTACTTACCAACACCCCTACTTACCAACACCCCTACTTACCAACACCCCTACTTACCAACGCCCCTACTTACCAACACCCCTACTTACCAACGCCCCTACTTACCAACACCCCTACTTACCAACACCCCTACTTACCAACACCCCTACTTACCAACACCCCTACTTACCAACACCCCCACTTACCAACACCCCTACTTAGCAACGCCCCTACTTACCAACACCCCTACTTACCAACACCCCTACTTACCAACGCTCTCACTTACCAACACCCCTACTTACCAACACCCCTACTTATGCACGCACTTACCAACACCCCTACTTACCAACACCCCTACTTACCAACACCCCTACTTACCAACACCCCTACTTACCAACACCCCTACTTACCAACACTCCTACTTACCAACGCCCCTACTTACCAACACCCCCACTTACCAACACCCCTACTTACCAACACCCCTACTTACCAACACCCCTACTTACCAACACCCCTACTTACCAACGCCCCTACTTACCAACACCCCCACTTACCAACACCCCCACTTACCAACACCCCTACTTACCAACGCCCCTACTTTCCAACGCCCCTACTTACCAACGCCCCCACTTACCAACACCCCTACTTTCCAACACCCCTACTTACCAACACCCCTACTTACCAACACCCCTACTTACCAACACCCCTACTTACCAACACCCCCACTTACCAACGCCCCCACTTACCAACACCCCTACTTTCCAACGCCCCTACTTACCAACACCCCTACTTACCAACGCACGCACTTACCAACACCCCTACTTACCAACGCCCCTACTTACCAACACCCCTACTTACGAAAGCCCCTACTTACGAACGCTCTCACGAACGCACGCACTTACGAACGCTCTCACTTACGAACGCCCCCACTTACGAACGCCCCCACTTACGAACACACACTTATGAACGTGCCTGAGTGAACGTGTGAGTGAACAACGCTCACCTTCTGGTTTCAGCTTATCCAGAAACCACTTTCTGCGGAAGTGAACACGGAAGGGGGAAAGGTGAGATCCTGCGTCGGGCTACAGGCACTGGACGGGGTTCAGGCACAGGTGGTGGTGGTGTAGGTGGTGGTGGTGTAGGTGGTGTAGGTGGTGGTGTAGGTGGTGGTGTAGGTGGTGGTGGTGTAGGTGGTGTAGGTGGTGTAGGTGGTGTAGGTGGTGGTGTAGGTGGTGGTGTAGGTGGTGTAGGTGGTGGTGTAGGTGGTGGTGTAGGTGGTGTAGGTGGTGGTGTAGGTGGTGGTGGTGTAGGTGGTGGTGGTGTAGGTGGTGTAGGTGGTGTAGGTGGTGGTGTAGGTGGTGTAGGTGGTGTAGGTAGTGTAGGTGGTGGTGGTGTAGGTGGTGGTGTAGGTGGTGGTGTAGGTGGTGTAGGTGGTGGTGGTGTAGGTGGTGTAGGTGGTGGTGGTGTAGGTGGTGTAGGTGGTGTAGGTGGTGGTGGTGTAGGTGGTGGTGTAGGTGGTGGTGGTGTTGGTGGTGTAGGTGGTGTAGGTGGTGTAGGTGGTGGTGTAGGTGGTGGTGTAGGTGGTGTAGGTGGTGGTATAGGTGGTGGTGTAGGTGGTGGTGATGTAGGTGGTGTAGGTGGTGTAGGTGGTGGTGGGGTAGGTGGTGGTGTAGGTGGTGGTGGTGTAGGTAGTGGTGTAGGTGGTGGTGTAGGTGGTGGTGGTGTAGGTGGTGGTGTAGGTGGTGGTGGTGGTGTGGGTGGTGTAGGTGGCGGTGTAGGTGGTGTAGGTGATGGTGTAGGTGGTGGTGTAGGTGGTGTTGTAGGTGTAGGTGGTGGTGTAGGTGGTGGTGGTGTAGGTGGTGGTGGTGTAGGTAGTGTAGGTGGTGTAGGTGGTGGTGGTGGTGTAGGTGGCGGTGTAGGTGGTGTAGGTGGTGGTGTAGGTGGTGGTGTAGGTGGTGTAGGTAGTGTAGGTGGTGGTGGTGTAGGTGGTGGTGTAGGTGGTGGTGGTGTAGGTAGTGTAGGTGGTGTAGGTGGTGGCGTAGGTGGTGTAGGTGGTGGTGGTGTAGGTGGTGGTGTAGGTGGTGGTGTAGGTGGTGTAGGTGGTGGTGTAGGTGGTGGTGGTGTTGGTGGTGTAGGTGGTGGTGTAGGTGGTGTAGGTGGTGGTGTAGGTGGTGGTGTAGGTGGTTATGTAGGTCGTGTAGGTGTTGGTGCTGTAGGTGGTGGTGGTGGTGTAGGTGGTGGTGTAGGTGGTGGTGGTGTAGGTGGTGTAGGTGGTGGTGTAGGTGGTGGTGTAGGTGGTGGTGTAGGTGGTGGTGTAGGTGGTGGTGGTGTTGGTGGTGTAGGTAGTGGCGTAGGTGGTGGTGTAGGTGGTGTAGGTGGTGGTGGTGTAGGTGGTGGTGTAGGTGGTGGTGTGGGTGGTGTAGGTGGCGGTGTAGGTGGTGTAGGTGATGGTGTAGGTGGTGGTGTAGGTGGTGGTGTAGGTGTAGGTGGTGGTGTAAGTGGTGGTGGTGTAGGTGGCGGTGTAGGCGGTGTAGGTGGTGGTGGTCTAGGTGGTGGTGTAGGTGGTGTAGGTGGTGGTGATGTAGGTGGTGGTGATGTAGGTGGTGTAGGTGTTGGTGTAGGTGGTGTAGGTGGTGGTGGTGTAGGTGGTGATGTAGGTGGTGGTGTAGGTGGTGGTGGTGTAGGTGGTGTAGGTGGTGGTGGTGTAGGTGGTGGTGATGTAGGTAGTGGTGATGTAGGTGGTGTAGGTGGTGGTGGTGTAGGTGGTGGGGTAGGTGGTGGTGTAGGTGGTGTAGGTGGTGGTGTAGGTGGTGTAGGTGGTGGTGGAGGTGGTGGTGTAGGTGGTGGTGTAGGTGGTGTAGGTGGTGGTGGTGGTGTAGGTGGTGGTGGTGTAGGTGGTGGTGTAGGTGGTGTAGGTGGTGGTGGTGTTGTGGTGGTGTAGGTGGTGTAGGTGGTGGTGTAGGTGGTGGTGGTGTAGGTGGTGTAGGTGTACGTGGTGGTGTACGTGGTGGTGGTGTAGGTGGTGGTGTAGGTGGTGGTGTAGGTGGTGGTGGTGTAGGTGGTGGTGTAGGTGGTGTAGGTGGTGGTGGTGTAGGTGGTGGTGTAGGTGGTGTAGGTGGTGTACGTGGTGGTGGTGTAGGTGGTGGTGTAGGTGGTGGTCTAGGTGGTGGTGGTGTAGGTGGTGGTGTAGGTGGTGGTGGTGTAGGTGGTGGTGTAGGTGGTCTAGGTGGTGGTGTAGGTGGTGGTCTAGGAGGGTACCCCCCCCCCCCCCACTAACATGTACGGTCCGGGCAGCCCTCCCAGGGCGTCGAAGCAGAGGCACGTGTCCTCCACCAGCACCGCCCCCTCCACCTACACTCACACAGACAAAGGTCCCCCAGGTAGCCTTAGCAGGCTGTGGGGGCAAGTGCTGTACACTCACACACAAAGGTCCCCCAGGTAGTCTCTAGCATGGCTGTAGGGGCAAGTGCTGTACACTTACACACAGACAAAGGTCCCCCAGGTAGCCTCTAGCAGGCTGTGAGGGCAAGTGCTGTACACACACACAGACAAAGGTCCCCCAGGTAGCCTCAGCAGGCTGTGGGGGCAAGTGCTGTACACACACAGACAAAGGTCCCCCAGGTAGCCTCTAGCAGGCTGTGGGGGCAAGTGCTGTTAGTAGCGAGTAGCAGCAGAGGGGGTGGCCACCACCACCACGCCCGGCCGCCTTTGTCTCTCCCACAGTGCGAGCGACGTTCACTGCAGCGCTACACAATTTGAGGCTGAGTCGACCTAGGGGAGGAGGTTCAGGCACCGGTTGTTGGGTTAATCACTGCCGGCGGTGGTGGTGGCCGTGGTTGTGGTGGTTGTGGTGGTTGTGATGGTGGTGGTTGTGGTGGTTGTGGTGGTTGTGATGGTGGTTGTAGTGGTGGTTGTGGTGGTTGTTGTGGTTGTGGTGTTTGTGGTTGTGGTGGTTGTGGTGGTTGTGGTGGTTGTGGTGGTTTTGGTTGTGGTGGTTGCGGTGGTTGTGGTGGTTGTGGTGGCTGCGGTGGTTGTGGTGGTTGTGGTTGTGGTGGTTGTGATGGTGGTGGTTGTGGTGGTGGTTGTGGTGGTTGTGGTGGTTGTGGTGGTGGTGGTTGGGGTGGTTGTTGTGGTGGTGGTTGTGGTGGTTGTTGTGGTGGTGGTTGTTGTGGTGGTGGTTGTTGTGTTTGTTGTTGTGTTTGTTGTTGTGTTTGTTGTTGTGTTTGTTGTTGTTGTGTTTGTTGTTGTTGTGTTTGTTGTTGTGTTTGTTGTTGTTGTGTTTGTTGTTGTGTTTGTTGTTGTTGTGTTTGTTGTTGTTGTGTTTGTTGTTGTTGTGTTTGTTGTTGTGTTTGTTGTGTTTGTTGTTGTTGTGTTTGTTGTTGTGTTTGTTGTTGTGTTTGTTGTTGTTGTGTTTGTTGTTGTTGTTGTCCTCACCTGCCGTGCAGCTTCCTTGCATTTCTGCTCCGAGATGTCATCAGGCTCCCCCTGATGCTCCGGCACTGCGACACACAAAGACAAAGCTGAAGGCTCCCCGTGTAGCCTCCACTCAACGTCAGTGGCAAGGGGAGATGTTGACTACCTCGCCTGGTGTACAGGAGGTCGTGGCTTCCACCACCATCATCACGGTGGCTAGGAGATGTTGACTACCTCGCCTGGTTCTACAGGAGGTCGTGGGTTCCACCACCACCACCACCATCATCATCACGGTGGCTAGGAGATGTTGACTACCTCGCTTGGTGTACAGTAGGTCGTGGGTTCCACCACCACCATCATCATCACGGTGGCTAAGAGATGTTGACTACCTCGCCTGGTGTACAGGAGGTCGTGGGTTCCACCACCATCATCACGGTGGCTAGGAGATGTTGACTACCTCGCCTGGTGTACAGGAGGTCGTGGGTTCCACCACCACCATCATCACGGTGGCTAGGAGATGTTGACTACCTCGCCTGGTGTACAGGAGGTCGTGTACTTGCGTGTACTCACAGTCAATCTTCTTGGCTATCAGCTCGTACGGGAAGGAGTCTCCCAGGATCTGCACCACCTGCGGCAGAGGAAACCACAAAGACAAATGTCCCCCGTGTAGCCTCAGCAGAGTGTTGGGGCAAGTGCTGTTAGCTGGAGGCCTCGGCAAGGTAAAAGGTCAAAAGCAACGAGCCTACCATCACCCCACCATCACCCCACCATCACCCCAACATCACCCCAACATCACCCCAACATCACCACCCCCATCACCCCACCATCACCCCAACATCACCCCACCATCACCCCATCATCACCCCCCCAAGTGAGCGGTGACGTCACACCTGTGACGTTGACAGGTTGACAGGTACGTTGATGGTGATGGTGGTGTTGATGGTGGTGTTGATGGTGATGGTGGTCTTGATGTTGATGGTGGTGTTGATGGTGATGGTGTTGATGATGTTGATGGTGGTGTTGATGGTGATGGTGGTGTTGATGGTGGTAGTGGTGTTGATGTTGATGTTGGTGGTGGTGTTGATGATGATGATGGTGGTGGTGTTGATGTTGATGGTGGTGTTGATGTTGGTGGTGATGGTGTTGGTGCTGATGTTGATGCTGGTGTTGATGTTGGTGGTGGTGGTGTTTATGGTGGTGGTGTTGGTGTTGATGTTGGTGGTGGTGTTGTTGGTGGTGGTGGTGGTGGTGTTGATGGTGGTGTTGATGATGGTGGTGGTGGTGTTGATGATGTTGGTGGTGTTGTTGATGGTCGTGGTGTTGATGCTGATGATGGTGGTGGTGGTGGTGGTGTTGATGTTGATGATGGTGGTGTTGATGTTGATGGTGGTGTTGGTGGTGGTGTTGATGTTGTTGTTGATGGTGGTGATGTTGTTGATGTTGCTGTTGATGTTGGTGGTGTTGATGTTGTTGTTGATGGTGGTGTTGTTGATGTTGTTGTTGATGTTGTTGATGTTGGTGTTGATGTTGTTGTTGTTGATGTTGTTGTTGATGTTGATGGTGATGTTGATGTTGTTGTTGATGGTGATGATGTTGTTGATGGAGCTGTTGTTGATGTTGTTGGTGATGTTGATGGTGATGTTGTTGATGTTGTTGTTGATGTTGATGGCGGTGTTGATGTTGTTGTTGATGTTGATGGTGATGTTGTTGATGTTGATGGTGGTGTTGTTGATGTTGATGATGTTGTTGTTGATGTTGATGATGTTGTTGTTGATGTTGTTGTTGATGTTGATGGTGATGTTGTTGATGTTGTTGTTGATGTTGATGGTGGTGTTGATGGTGGTGTTGATGTTGTTGTTGATGGTGATGTTGATGTTTATGGTGTTGTTGATGTTGTTGTTGATGGTGTTGTTGTTGATGTTGATGGTGATGTTGTTGATGTTGTTGTTGATGTTGTTGATGTTGTTGTTGATGGTGGTGTTGTTGATGTTGATGGTGATGTTGATGGTGGTGTTGTTGATGTTGATGTTGTTGTTGTTGATGATGTTGTTGTTGATGTTGTTGTTGATGATGGTGGTGTTTACCTCCCTCAGCTTGTTCTGATTGCCCGTCACAAATGTGATGCTGCTCCTGCCGCTACAGCGCTCCATCACTGGTGGGGGGGAGAGATAAAGGTGGGTAGGTGAGTGGGTGGGTAGGTGAGTGGGTGGGTAGGTGAGTGGGTGGGTAGGTGAGTGGGTGGGTGAGTGGGTGGGTGTGGGTGGGTAGGTGAGTGGGTGAGTGTGTGGGTAGGTGAGTGGGTGAGTGCGTGGGTAGGTGCGTGGGTGGGTGTGGGTAGGTGAGTGGGTGCGTGAGTGGGTGGGTAGGTGAGTGGGTGCATGAGTGGGTGGGTAGGTGAGTGTGTGGGTGAGTATTTGGGTAGGTGAGTGTGTGGGTAGGTGGGTGGGTGAGTGGGTGGGTAGGTGAGTGGGTGGGTAGGTGAGTGTGTGGGTAGGTGAGTGTGTGGGTAGGTGAGTGGGTGGGTAGGTGAGTGGGTGGGTAGGTGAGTGTGTGGGTAGGTGAGTGTGTGGGTAGGTGAGTGGGTGAGTGCGTGGGTGGGTGTGGGTGGGTAGGTGAGTGGGTGCGTGAGTGGGTAGGTGAGTGGGTGAGTGGGTGGGTAGGTGAGTGGGTGGGTAGGTGAGTGGGTGGGTTGGTGAGTGTGTGCGTAGGTGAGTGGGTGCGTGAGTGGGTGGGTAGGTGAGTGGGTGGGTAGGTGAGTGGGTGGGTTGGTGAGTGTGTGGGTAGGTGAGTGGGTAGGTAGGAGAGTGTGTGGGTAGGTGAGTGTGTGGGTAGGTGAGTGGGTGGGTAGGTGAGTGGGTGCGTGTGGGTGGGTAGGTGAGTGGGTGGGTGGATAGGTGAGTGTGTGGGTAGGTGAGTGGGTGCGTGTGGGTGGGTAGGTGAGTGGGTGGGTGGGTAGGTGAGTGGGTGGGTGAGTGAGTGGTTGAGTGAGTGAGTGGGTGAGTGAGTCAGTGTATGAGTGAGTGTATGAGTGAGGGTATGAGTGTGTGAGTGTATGAGTGAGTGTATGAGTGAGTGTGTAAGTGTATGAGTGAGTGTATGAGTGAGTGTGTAAGTGTATGAGTGAGTGTATGAGTGAGTGTATGAGTGAGTGAGTGTATGAGTTAGTGAGTGTATGAGTGAGTGAGTGTGTGAGTGTATGAGTGAGTGTATGAGTGATTGTATAAGTGAGTGTATGAGTGAGTGTATTAGTGAGTGAGTGTATGAGTGAGTGAGTGTATGAGTGAGTGTATGAGTAAGTGAGTGAGTGTATGAGTGAGTGAGTGTATGAGTGAGTGTATGAGTGAGTGAGTGTATGAGTGAGTGAGTGTATGTGAGTGAGTGTATGAGTGAGTGAGTGAGCGTATGAGTGAGTGTATGAGTGAGTGTATAAGTGTATGCGTGAGTGAGTGAGTGTATGAGTGAGTGTATGAGTGAGTTTATGAGTGAGTGTATGAGTGTATGAGTGAGTGAGTGTGTGAGTGAGTGTATGAGTGAGTGAGTGTATGAGTGAGTGAGTGTATGAGTGAGTGTGTGTATGAGTGAGTGAGTGTGTGTATGAGTGAGTGTATGAGTGAGTGTGTGAGTGAGTGAGTGTATGAGCGAGTGTATGAGTGAGTGTATGAGTGTGTGTGTATGAGTGAGTGTATGAGTGAGTGTATGAGTGAGTGAGTGTGTGGGTGAGTGAGTGTATGAGTGAGTGAGTGTATGAGTGAGTGAGTGTATGAGTGTGTGAGTGAGTGTATGAGTGTATGAGTGTGTGTATGTATGTGTGTATGAGTGAGTGTATGTATGTGTGTATGTACGTGTTTATGTGTGTATGTATGAGTGTGTGTATGTATGTGTGTAAGTGTACTAGTGAGTGTGTGTATGTATGTGTGTATGTATGTGTGAGTGAGTGTATGTATGTGTGTATGTATGAGTGTGTGTATGTATGTGTGAGTGTGTGTAAGTGTATGTATGTGTGAGTGAGTGTATGTGTGAGTGAGTAAGTGTATGTATGTGTATGAGTGTGTGTGTATATGTATGTATGAGTGTGTGAGTGTACTAGTGAGTGTATGTATGTGTGTATGAGTGTTTGTATGTGTGTATGTATGTATGTGTGAGTGAGTATGCATGTATGTGTGAGTGTGTATGTATGTGTGTGTAAGTGTACTAGTGAGTGTATGTATGTAAGTGTGTATATGTGTATGTGTGTGTACATGTGTGTATGTGTGTGTGAGTGTGTATGTATGTGTGTGTAAGTGTACTAGTGAGTGTATGTATGTGTGTATGAGTGTTTGTATGTGTGTATGTATGTGTGTGTAAGTGTACTAGTGAGTGTATGTATGTGTGTATGAGTGTATGTATGTGTGTATGTATGTATGTGTGAGTGTGTGAGTGTGTATGTAAGTGTGTGTGAGTGTACTAGTGAGTGTATGTATGTGTGTATATGAGTGTTTGTATGTGTGTATGTATGTGTGTATGTATGTATGTGTGAGTGTATGAGTGTGTATGTATGTGTGTGTAAGTGTACTAGTGAGTGTATGTATGTGTGTATGAGTGTTTGTATGTGTGTATGTATGTATGTGTGAGTGTGTGAGTGTGTATGTAAGTGTGTGTGAGTGTACTAGTGAGTGTATGTATGTAAGTGTGTATATATGTGTGTATATGTGTGTATGTGTGAGTGAGTGTATGTGTGAGTAAGTGTATGTATGTGTATGAGTGTGTGTGTATATGTATGTATGAGTGTGTGAGTGTACTAGTGAGTGTATGTATGTGTGTATGAGTGTTTGTATGTGTGTATGTATGTGTGTATGTATGTATGTGTGAGTGTGTGAGTGTGTATGTATGTGTGTGTAAGTGTACTAGTGAGTGTATGTATGTGTGTATGAGTGTTTGTATGTGTGTATGTATGTATGTGTGAGTGTGTGAGTGTGTATGTATGTGTGTGAGTGTACTAGTGAGTGTATGTATGTAAGTGTGTATATGTGTGTATATGTGTGTATGTGTGAGTGTATGTGTGAGTGTATATATGTATGTGTGTATGAGTGTTTGTATGTGTGTATGTATGTGTGTGTAAGTGTACTAGTGAGTGTATGTATGTGTGTATGAGTGTTTGTATGTGTGTATGTATGTATGTGTGAGTGTGTGAGTGTGTATGTAAGTGTGTGTGAGTGTACTAGTGAGTGTATGTATGTAAGTGTGTATGTATGTGTGTATATGTGTGTATGTGTGAGTGAGTGTATGTGTGAGTGTGTGAGTGTACTAGTGAGTGTATGTATGTGTGTATGAGTGTATGTATGTGTGTATGTATGTATGTGTGAGTGTGTGAGTGTGTATGTAAGTGTGTGTGAGTGTACTAATGAGTGTATGTGTATATGTGTGTATGTGTGAGTGTGTGAGTGTGTATGTATGTGTGTATATGTGTGTATGTATGTATGTGTGAGTGTGTGAGTGTGTATGTATGTGTGTGTGAGTGTACTAGTGAGTGTATGTATGTATGAGTGTATGTATGTGTGTATGTATGTATGTGTGAGTGTGTGAGTGTGTATGTATGTGTGTGTAAGGGTACTAGTGAGTGTATGTATGTAAGTGTGTATGTATGTGTGTGTATATGTGTGTATGTGTGAGTGTGTGAGTGTGTATGTATGTGTGTGTGAGTGTACTAGTGAGTGTATGTATGTAAGTGTGTATGTATGTGTGTATATGTGTGTATGTGTGAGTGAGTGTATGTGTGAGTGAGTAAGTGTATGTATGTGTATGAGTGTGTGTATATGTATGTATGAGTGTGTGAGTGTACTAGTGAGTGTATGTATGTAAGTGTGTATGTATGTGTGTATATGTGTGTATGTGTGAGTGAGTTTGGAGACCTCCACCCACTTGGTGACTCTCCTCCTGCTGGCTCGAGCCCCGCCACGCGCGCGTGAGGCAGCGACACGATGCAGCACTAGACGGTTCAGCTCAGGACCCAGCAGCAGCAGCGACACGATGCAACACTAGACGGTTCAGCTCAGGACCCAGCAGCAGCGACAAGATGCAGGAGTAGACGGTTCAGCCCAGGACCCAGCAGCAGCAGCGACACGATGCAGCAGTAGACGGTTCAGCCCAGGACCCAGCAGCAGCAACACGATGCAGGAGTAGACGGTTCAGCCCAGGACCCAGCAGCAGCGACACGATGCAGCAGTAGACGGTTCAGCCCAGGACCCAGCAGCAGCGACAAGATACAGCAGTAGACGGTTCAGCCCAGGACCCAGCAGCAGCAGCGACACGATACAACAGTAGACGGTTCAGGACAGGAACCAGCAGCAGCGACACGATGCAGCAGTAGACGGTTCAGCCCAGGACCCAGCAGCAGCGACACGATGCAGCAGTAGACGGTTCAGTCCAGGACCCAGCCGCAGCGACACGATGCAGCAGTAGACGGTTCAGCCCAGAACCCAGCCGCAGCGACACGATGCAGCAGTAGACGGTTCAGCCCAGGACCCAGCAGCAGCAGTAGCGACACGATGCAGCAGTAGACGGTTCAGCCCAGGACCCAGCAGCAGCAGCAGCGACACGATGCAGCAGTAGACGGTTCAGGTCAGGACCCAGCAGCAGCGACACGATGCAGCAGTAGACGGTTCAGCAGCAGCAGCGACAGTTATAGTGGGTGGGGGTCAGTAGTGGTAGGTGGGTGTCAGGAGTGGTGGGTGGGTGTCAGTAGTGGGTGGGTGTCAGTAGTAGTGGGTGGGTGTCAGTAGTGGTGGGTGTAAGTAGTGGTGGGTGGGTGTCAGTAGTGGTGGGTGGGTGTCAGTAGTGGTGGGTGGGTGTCAGTAGTAGTGGGTGGGTGTCAGTAGTGGGTGGGTGTCAGTAGTGGTGGGTGGGTGTCAGTAGTGGGTGGGTGTCAGTAGTAGTTGGTGGGTGTCAGTAGTGGGTGGGTGTAAGTAGTAGTGGGTGGGTGTCAGTCGTGGTGGGTGGGTGTCAGTAGTGGTGGGTGGGTGTCAGTAGTGGTGGGTGGGTGTCAGTAGTAGTGGGTGGGTGTCAGTAGTAGTGGGTGGGTGTCAGGTGGGTGGGTGTCAGTAGTAGTGGGTGGGTGTCAGTAGTAGTGGGTGGGTGTCAGTCGTGGTGGGTGGGTGTCAGTAGTAGTGGGTGGGTGTCAGTAGTGGGTGGGTGTCAGTAGTGGTGGGTGGGTGTCAGTAGTGGGTGGATGTCAGTAGTGGTGGGTGGGGGTCAGTAGTAGTGGGTGGGTGTCAGTATTGGTGGGTGGGTGTCAGTAGTGGTGGGTGGGTGTCAGTAGTAGTGGGTGGGTGTCAGTAGTGGTGGGTGGGTGTCAGTAGTAGTGGGTGGGTGTCAGTAGTGGTGGGTGGGTGTCAGTAGTAGTGGGTGGGTGTCAGTAGTGGTGGGTGGGTCAGTAGTAGTGGGTGGGTGTCAGTAGTGGTGGGTGGGTGTCAGTAGTGGTGGGTGGGTGTCAGTAGTGGTGGGTGGGTGTTAGTAGTGGTGGGTGGGTGTCAGTTGTGGTGGGTGGGTGTCAGTAGTGGTGGGTGGGTTTCAGTAGTGGTGGGTGGGTGTCAGTAGTAGTGGGTGGGTGTCAGTCGTGGTGGGCGGGTGTCAGTAGTGGGTGGGTGTCAGTAGTGGTGGGTGGGTGTCACTAGTGGTGGGTGGGTGTCAGTGGTGGTGGGTGGGTGTCAGTAGTAGTGGGTGGGTGTCAGTAGTAGTGGGTGGGTGTCAGTCGTGGTGGGCGGGTGTCAGTAGTGGGTGGGTGTCAGTAGTGGTGGGTGGGTGTCACTAGTGGTGGGTGGGTGTCAGTGGTGGTGGGTGGGTGTCAGTAGTGGTGGGTGGGTGTCAGTAGTGGTGGGTGGATGTCAGTGGGCGTGGCTTGGTGTCAGTAGGCGTGGCTTGGTGTCAGTAGGCGTGGCTTGGTGTCAGTAGGCGTGGCTTGGTGTGAGAGGGGTGAGGACGGTCTCTTAGCGCCCCGCCCCCCTACGCCTGCGACGCCCACCAATCAGCAGTCGATCTACGCCCGATTCAGCCGAGGTCGCGTCCGCCATCTTGGTTGGGGGGGGTTGTGCGGTGGTCGCGAAGGCCGCGGCTGGGGGGCGTAGCTGGGGGCGTTGCTAGGGGCGTGGATCGGGACATGGATGGGGGAGCGGTTGGAGGCGTAGCTGGGGGCGTGCCTGGGGGCGTGGCTGTGGGTCGGGGCGACGTCATCGCCAACTCTCCTCACCCAACATGACCGCGAATGGCCTCACTCCAGCGGCAACCACCACCACAACCACCACCTTCACCACAACTACCACAACCATCGCCTCGGCGTTTTAAAGTCTCGATAAATCTTCACTTCGCCCCGGCTGGACAGCCGCGAGCAAAGAGCTTCGCAGCTCATCGGATTTCTCCTGCAAGTAAAAAAAATTACGAGTCAGATCCTCACCCGACATGGCACCCAGTAGCCTCACAACAACAACAGCCACCACCACCACAACAACAATAACAACCACCACCACCACCACCATCGTCTCGGCGTTTTAAAGTCTCCCTCAAGAGATCGTCTCCTCTACGCTCCGAGTCCAAAGGGGAAGTCCCCGAAATCAGCATCGCCTTGTAAGTGCTGCAATCATCTTCATCATCATCTCTCATCATCATCATCTCTCTCATCATCATCATCATCTCTCTCATCATCATCTCTCTCATCATCTCTCTCATCATCATCTCCCTCATCATCATCTCTCATCATCATCTCTCATCATCATCATCTCTCTCTCATCATCTCCCTCATCATCATCTCTCTCATCATCATCTCTCTCATCCTCATCATCTCTCATCATCATCTCTCTCTCATCTCTCATCATCTCTCATCATCTCTCATCATCATCATCTCTCTCTCATCATCATCTCCCTCATCATCATCTGTCATCATCATCTCTCTCATCATCATCATCATCATCTCTCATCATCATCTCTCATCATCATCATCTCTCTCTCATCATCTCCCTCATCATCATCTCTCTCATCATCATCTCTCTCATCCTCATCATCTCTCATCATCATCTCTCTCTCATCTCTCATCATCTCTCATCATCATCATCTCTCTCTCATCATCATCTCCCTCATCATCATCTGTCATCATCATCATCATCTCTCTCATCATCATCATCTCTCTCATCATCATCTCTCTCTCATCATCATCTCTCTCATCATCTCTTTCATCATCATTTCTCATCATCATCTCTCTCACCATCATCTCTCATCTCTCTCATCATCATCTCTCTCATCATAATCTCTCTCATCATAATCCCTCATCATAATCTCTCTCATCATCTCTCTCATCATCATCTCTCTCATCATCATCTCTCTCATCATCATCATCTCTCTCATCATCATCATCTCTCTCATCATCATCTCTCTCATCATCATCTCTCTCATCATCATCATCTCTCTCATCATCTCTCTCATCATCTCTCTCTCATCATCATCTCTCTCATCATCATCATCTCTCATAATCATCATCATCTCTCATCATCATCTCTCATCATCTCTCTCATCATCATCTCTCATCATCATCTCTCTCATCATCATCACCATCATCTCTCTCATCATCATCATCTCTCATCATCATCGTCTCTCTCATCATCATCTCTCATCATCATCTCTCTCATCATCATCATCTCTCTCATCATCATCTCTCTCATCATCATCATCATCTCTCATCATCATCTCTCTCATCATCATCTCTCATCATCATCTCTCTCTCATCATCATCTCTCATCATCATCTCTCTCATCATCATCTCTCTCATCATCATCTCTCTCATCATCATCTCTCATCATCATCATCTCTCTCTCATTATAATCATCTCTCATCATCATCTCTCATCATCATCTCTCATCATCATCTCTCTCTCATCATCATCTCTCTCATCATCTCTCTCATCATCTCTCTCATCATCTCTCATCTCTCTCATCATCATCTCTCATCATCATCTCTCATCATCATCTCTCTCATCATCATCTCTCTCATCATCATCTCTCTCATCATCATCTATCATCTCTCTCATCATCATCTCTCTCATCATCATCTCTCTCATCATCATCTCTCTCATCATCATCTCTCTCATCATCATCTCTCATCATCATCATCATCTCTCATCATCATCATCTCTCATCATCATCTCTCTCATCATCATCATCTATCATCTCTCTCGTCATCATCTCTCTCATCATCTCTCTCATCATCTCTCTCATCATCTCTCATCTCTCTCATCATCATCTCTCATCATCATCTCTCTCATCATCATCTCTCTCATCATCTCTCTCATCATCATCTCTCATCATCATCTCTCTCATCATCTCTCTCATCATCTCTCATCTCTCTCATCATCATCTCTCTCATCATCATCTCTCTCATCATCATCTCTCTCATCATCATCTCTCTCATCATCATCTCTCTCATCATCTCTCTCTCATCATCATCTCTCTCATCATCATCTCTCTCATCATCTCTCTCATCATCTCTCTCATCATCTCTCATCTCTCTCATCATCATCTCTCATCATCATCTCTCATCATCATCTCTCATCATCATCTCTCTCATCATCTCTCATCATCATCTCTCATCATCATCTCTCTCATCATCTCCCATCATCATCTCTCATCATCATCTCTCATCATCATCTCTCTCATCATCATCTCTCATCATCTCTCATCATCATCTATCATCTCTCTCATCATCATCATCTCATCATCATCATCTCTCATCATCATCATCTCTCATCATCTCTCTCATCATCATCTCTCATCATCATCTCTCTCATCATCATCATCATCTCTCTCATCATCATCATCTCTCATCATCATCATCTCTCTCATCATCATCTCTCATCATCATCTATCATCTCTCTCGTCATCATCTCTCTCATCATCATCTCTCTCTCTCATCTCTCTCATCATCATCTCTCATCATCATCATCTCTCTCTCTCATCTCTCTCATCATCATCTCTCATCATCATCATCATCTCTCTCATCATCATCATCATCTCTCATCATCTCTCTCATCATCTCTCATCATCTCTCATCATCTCTCTCATCATCATCTCTCTCATCATCATCTCTCTCATCATCTCTCATCATCTCTCTCATCATCATCTCTCTCCCTCATCATCATCTCTCATCATCATCTCTCTCATCATCATCTCTCTCATCACCTCTCATCATCTCTCTCATCATCATCATCTCTCTCCCTCATCATCATATCTCATCATCATCATCTATCTCATCATCTCTCTCATCATCATCTCTCATCATCATCATCATCTCTCTCATCATCATCTCTCTCATCATCATCTCTCTCCCTCATCATCATATCTCATCATCATCATCTCTCATCATTTCTCTCATCATCATCTCTCATCATCATCATCTCTCTCATCATCATCTCTCTCATCATCATCTCTCTCATCATCATCTATCTCATCATCATCTCTCATCATCTCTCATCATCATCTCTCATCATCATCTCTCTCATCATCATCTCTCTCATCATCATCATCTCTCTCATCATCATCATCTCTCTCATCATCTATCTCATCATCTATCTCATCATCATCTCTCATCATCATCTCTCATCATCATCTCTCTCATCATCATCTCTCTCATCATCATCTCTC